CCCCAGGAACTGGTGTTTTGTTACACCAGCCGAGCAGGCTAAGACACAGGTCTTCAGGATGCAGAGATGAAAGACATGTTTCAGCCTTCCTGAGCTCACCCCTGGGATCTGCAGAATTCTCTCTTTTACTTGACTCGCTGCCTGCCTTCAGTGCTGGCCCCCGTGCTCGTCTGAGTGCCCCCGCTCTGCATCCGGCCCCTCACCCAGCTGTGTGTGATGACCATGTGAGGCGGAGAGCACAGCCCTGGGGTAGATGTTCGATGTGATTGCATCGCTCTTCGAGGTTTATTCTCTTACTCGCTAGAGGTTCATCTCTGCATTCAAACAGGAAAAAGGAGAAAGATGGGTTGGGGCTGTGCGTGGTCTTTGGATCTGAGCCCGGATCCCTGATGTTGGTTGTGTTTTCCCTTTTCTAGTTGCCATTCCAGTTGTTTCCCCCCCACAAATAACGTGTGTTCCCTTTAGAAATCTTGGAAAACTGAGACAAGCAGGCAAACAAACAAACAAAATCACCCTGAATTCCACATCCCAGAAATAACCTGTTGTTGCGTGCGTGTGTGTGTGTGTGTGTGTGTGTGTGTGTGTGTGGTTTTTGTTGTTGTTTTGTTGTTGTTGTTGTTGTTTTGAGACAAAGTCTCACTCTGTCACCCAGGGTGGAGTGCAGTCATGGGATCATAGCTCACTGCAACCTCTGCCTCCCGGGTTCAAGTGATTCTCCTGCCTCAGCCTCCTGAGTAGCTGGGATTACAGGCACAGGCCACCACGCCCAGCTAATTTTTGTATTTTTTAGTAGAGACAGGGTTTTACAATGTTGGCCAAGCCGGTCTTGAACTCCTGACCTCAGGTAATCTGTCCACCTTGGCTTCCCAAAGTTCTGGGATTACAGGCATGAGCATCATCTGTTTTAATAGAGCTGAGTGTGTTCTTCTAGCCTTATTCTATGCTGGTGCATAAACATATGTTTCCTGGTTTTATTAAGGTATAGTTGAAATGAACATATTTTAAAAAACAAAAGTGGAGTAACACTGTGTTATAATCAGCATTTTTTTTTTTAAGCACAGGGTATCCCCACTCTATTTTCCATTCAGCACAGGTATATAATGAGGAGGTAGCTTATGGGACAGATGCCTCAGGGGACTGATCTGTGTAGGCTCTGCCTGATGTCATCTTTTGGAATCTAGCCTGGCATCAGGATGCAGAGAAAGAGGTACATCCTTGGGCACCATTTATACTTACTACTGCTGGCATGTATTCAATATTATTAACAGGAAAGTGGCCGGGCATGGTGGCTCATGCCTGTAATCCCAGCACTTAGGGAGGCCAAGGCAGGCAGATCACTTGACGTCAGGAGTTTGAGAGCAGCCTGGTCAACATTTCAAAACCTCATCTTTACTAAAAATACAAAAATTAGCCAGGCGTGGTGGCGCATGCCTGTAGTCCCAGCTACTCAGGAGGCTGAGACAAGAAAATCACTTGAATCTAGGAGGCAGAGGTTGTAGTGAGCTAAGATCACACCACTGCACTCCAGCCTGGAAGACAGAGTGAGACTCTGTCTCAAAAACAAAAAATAAAAAACAAGAAACCTACCACTTACTAGATGCTTAGTGTGGGAAGTTACACAACAACTCTGTTGGGAGATCTGATTGTCCCCGTTTTGTAGATGACAGAGGTTAAGTTAATTGTCCAGGGCTACACAGTCTTGAAATAATAAAAAATCCAGAGGTTTGGATGCGGGATTCTCAAGCTCTTCAACAGCCTGTGCTCTGCTGTTTCTCATAACTGCCTGTCTCTGTAAGCCTCTGGCTTAGGGTGCTAATGTGACTTTGCTAATGGGTGAGAGTTTGGAGGATGATGATGGCTGATGAAGGGTGTACAGTGGAACCACCCCTTGTCCATACACATGGTGAACTGGTTTCTAAGAAAACAGCCACAATCGGTAGCATTTGCCAGTTCCTGGGGTGTCAATACTCACTCTCACCGTGGATGGTTTCAAGCTATGGAGATGTCACTGAATGTAGCTTTGAGAAATGATGGGCAGTAGCAAGCCATCGTGTGTGATTTCCACCACACAGATACCACAGATGTAAAGAATCCCATGAGCATGCCTAATAGTAGAATGTAACAGTTAGGAAGTGATACAGGGTGAGAATGTACTACCTTTTAAAAAATATAATTTGTTTATTTATTTTCTTTATTTTTTTTTTTGAGACAAGGTCTCACTCTGTCACCCAGGCTGGAGTGCGGTGCACAATCTTGGCTCACTGTGACCTCCGCCTCCTGGGTTCAAGCAGTTTTCCGCAGCCTCCCGAGTAGCTGGGATTACAGGCGCCTGCCACTAGAGCTGGCTAATTTTTGTATTTTTAGTAGAGATGGGGTTTCGCCATGTTGGCCAGGCTGGTCTCAAACTCCTGACCTCAAGTGATCCACCTGCCTTGGCCTCCCAAAGTGCTGGGATTACGGGCATGAACCACCGTGCCTGGCAAAAAATAATAATAATACTAAATTTATTTAATTGTAAACTTATATAATTCAATTTTTAGCAATGGCCATGTTTAACAACTGGTTTGAAAAATTCTTGAAATTTGAGCCAGCTCTAGGAACCACTGCAATGTGGAATCTACCTGAAAAATTCAAAAAAAGATACCCCCTCTGGCTACGAACTGCCCTGTGCAGAGTACCCAGCCAGTAGATTGTAAGCTGGAAATAAGGACCCATTCACTCAGCAGGATGTCCTCTTGCAGGCCACAACCTGCCCAACCTTACATGACCGTCCCTGAGAGAGTGGGCCCAGGCACTGCGAATCAGTGCTGTAGGAAAAAAACTCAGCAAGGCTGGAGATGTGTTCTGTCTGCACTGTCCAAGCTGCTGGCTTCTAGCCACCTGCTGCTGCTGCTGAGCATTTGAAATGTGGCTAGAAATATGTGTGTGTGTGTATGTGTATATATACAGATATATATAATCATAAAATTTTACCATCTTAACCATTTAAATGTAAAGTTCTGTAGCATTGAACATTCACTTTGTTTTGCAACCATTACCACTATCCATCTTCAGAACTTTCTCATTTTTTTCTAACAGAAAAACAAACATAAACTCCTCAGTTTTTCTTCCCTGCAGTTCCCCGCCACTCACCATCCTACCTTCTCTCTCTGAATTTGACTGTTCTGGGTAGATCATACAAGTGGAATCATACAGTATTTGTTTCTTGGTGACTAGGAATCGTACAGTATTTGTTTCTCAGTGACTGGATTATTTCACTTAGTATAATACTCTCCAGGTTCACCCATGTGCTAGCATGTGAGCCGTGGGACTTTCAATATGGTTTAATTTTCGTTAATTGAAATCTAAGTAGCTACACGTGGCTTGTGGTTGCTGCTCTGAACGACACAGCTGTAGCAATGTTGCAGGGAAAGTGTGGATGTAAACGGGAAAGGCAGAGGCCCCTGACTTGGGGCTCGTGTCCAGGGTTTTATGCCCATCAAAGAGAACTGAGTGTAAGCAGAATCCCGGGCAGCAGACCCCGGAAGCCAGGATGCAGGGGGTTTGAGAGCACAGTTGACTATAGAACAAGGCTGTGAGGTGGTGTAAACCAGGGTGAGCTAAGGAGAACCCTGGGGCCAACTGAATCTCGGAGCATGAAAGGCGCATGCATCTACCACACCCTCTGTATGTGGTTGACTGTGCTCTCTCACTACCCTTGCTTGGTGTCCTCTGAAAGACACCCCGTGGATGGGCCTGTGGGAGAGGGGTCCCCTGGAGGTCCCTGCTGCCACTGTGATTCTGCAGCTGCTCTTGCTTGGGAGTGGGGCTGGGACCTTTGCTTGGAGGCTAACCCAGCTCCCTCCAAGCCTTTTACTCTACACCAGGTGTCCCCAAACTTTTTACACAGGGGGCCAGTTCACTGTCCCTCAGACCATTGGAGGGCCGCCACATACTGTGCTCCTCTCACTGACCACCAATGAAAGAGGTGCCCCTTCCTGAAGTGCGGCGGGGGGCCAGATAAATGGCCTCAGGGGGCTGCATGCGGCCCGCGGGCCGTAGTTTGGGGATGCCTGCTCTACACTTTCAAGGGAATCAAGATTAGTACAGAAGTGGCAGAGCACCAGGGCCTCTGACAGAGCCCTGATCTAGATGTTATCTGGTGGTCATATGTCTCCTTGGACTTCCTGTGATCAAAACTCGAGACAACCATTGATCTCTTAGGAACAAGACTGGCCAGGTGCAGTGGCTCACTCCTGTAATCCCAGCACTTTGGGAGGCGGAGGAGGGCAGATCACCTGAGATCGGGGGTTTGAGACCAGCCTGGCCAACATGGCAAAATCCCATCTCTACTAAAAATACAAAATTATCTGGGCATGGTGGCAGGCACCTGTAATCCCAGTTACTCAGGAGGCTGAGGCGGGATAATTGCTTGAACCCAGGAGGCAGAGGTTGCAGTGATCTGACATTGTGCCACTGCACTCCAGCCTGGGTGACAAGATTAAGACCGTCTCAAAAAAAAAAAAAAAAAAAAAAAAAATGGAATGAGGGACTGAGAATGGACAGGATAGTCTGGATGCTGCAAAATAAAATTTAAAGGTGTATGTGCCTTAGGCTTTAGAGTGTGGCAGTTAAGAGCAAGATTCAGACACGTGGCTAATTGCACACCCTGGGGTAAGTCCTTTAATCTCTAACCTTCTGATTCTTCATCTGCAAAAGGGATCTTGGGGGCTACGATGAGGGTGAACTCGAACTCCTAATCTCAGGTGATCCACATACCTCGGCCTCCCAAAGTGCTGGGATTACAGGTAGGAGCCACCGCACCCAGCAATTCTCATTTGTAATTGGCTAACCAGATGGCTTCCATGATTTCTTGGAAGGTTAGGAATAAACGTGTCCTTCCTGAGCCCATGGGGCAGAAGGAGCTTTGGGGTTTTCCTGGAGGAGAGGGAGGATCCCTGAGGAACCAGACGAGCCAGGAGAGCCTTCTGCAGAGTCACTTCTTGATTCTCCTGTTTCAGCACCAGCGGGAGGCCCTTCCTACTATACATGGGTCTGGCCCACATGCACGTGCCCTTACCTGTGACTCAGCTACCAGCAGCCCCACAGGGCGGAAGGTTGTATGATGCAGGGCTCCAGGAGATGGACGGTCTGGTGGGCCAGATCAAGGACAAAGTTGACCAAACAGTGAAGGAAAACACATTCCTCTGGTTTACAGGTAAAGTAGCAAAAGCCAGCTAGCCTAACTACCTTTCAATAGATAACCTTGCACATTCTCTGTGAAGAGCAGAGTCTGGCCCTGAGATCCTCTTTCATAGGTCGGGGGCTTGCTTTGAACTTGAGGCCCAGGTAAGGCTTGCCGGCCTGAATGCTGAGCACCTGTCCATTGAGGCCCTCAAGGCCAAGTCCCTGGGAAGGTTTGCACACACAGAGCAGGCACCTTGCTGACCCCTTGCCTGTCGATTGGGGCTATCTGGGTATTGCCCTTAGTTGCCACTGAATGATGTTGACGTTGTGAGCTTGTGTTGCCCTTGAGCAGTTCTAAGATTTTCCTCTTCTCCATCCTCCCTGGCCCCAAAAATTCTGGTTGCTGCCACTCCCTGTGTCACGTGTTTTGGCTGAGTGGCCTTAGTGGGCTGCACTAGTGGCCTCTTTAAAAGCCACACACACACTGTGTGTTTTTGGTTTCTGTCTGGAATGACAGCAGGGGTTAAAGGCACTGCCTTTGCCAGGCATGGTGGCTCATGCCTGTAATCCCAGCACTTTGGGAGGCCAAGGCAGGTGGATCACCTGAGGTCAGGAGTTTGAGATCCACCTGGCCAATGTGGCAAAACACTGTCTCTACTAAAAATGCAAAAGTTAGCCAGGCGTATTGGTGCACGCCTGTAGTCCCAGATACTTGGGAGGCTGAAATGGGAGAATCGCTTAAACCTGGGAGGCGGAGGCAGAGGCAGAGGTTACAGTGAGTTGAGATCATGCCATTGCACTCCAGCCTGGGCAACAGAGTGAGACTCTGTCTAAAAAAAAAGGGAAGGGGCGTTGCTTTTGGGTCAAGTAAAGACCTAAACCAAATCCTATAGGGTTTGAATCTATACTCTACTGTTGCTCCAAGCCTCCCTTTCCGCATCTGCAAAATTAAGCTAATAACAGAATCTACTCCATAGCATGCTGGAGGATTAGGAGATGACGTATGTGAAACACTGAGCATGTAATAGATGCTCAATAAACAGTCACTGGGCTGAGGCTGACGACAGTGGCAATGAGATTGTTGAAACCTTACAAAAGGGCAAGGGCATAGAAGGCAACAGAGTCACGACGGGGCTGAGTTGGGGAAGGAAAAGACCATGTGTGTCTGAAAGCCCAGTGGAGACAGGCCTCATATCAAGGGTTGTTCTTCATGGGTGGGAATCATATTTGTATGTATGTATGTATGTATTTTTTGAGATGAAGTCTTGCTCTGTCACGCAGGCTGAGTGATCTCGGCTCACGGCAGCCTCCACCTCCTGGGTTCAAGTGACTGTCACGCCTCAGCCTCCAGAGTAGCTAGGATTATATGTGCCTGCCAGCTAATTTTTGTATTTTTAGTAGAGAAGGAGTTTCACCATGTTGGCCAGGCTGGTCTGGAACTCCTGACCTCAAGTGATTCACTTGCCTCCCTCCGCCTCCCAAAGTGCTGGATCACAGGCGTGAGCTACCGCGCCCAGCCCATATTTGTCTTTATAAGTCCTTTTTCGGTCCTTTTTCTGTCCTTTTTCTGTCTACTCCCTGCTCTGCACAGGGATGTAGGGCCCGAGTGGGAGAGTCAGCAAAAGTGTCCAACCAGCCTGGTGACCATCATGCTTTTCTGGTTTCTAGGAGACAATGGCCCATGGGCTCAGAAGTGTGAGCTAGCCGGCAGTGTGGGTCCCTTCACTGGACTGTGGCAGACGCATAGAGGTAAGGGGCTCAGGTGGGGTTGATGGAGCCCACGGCAATGCTCAGCCCAGGCTGGGGTGTGGGATTATGCCTCTGGGAGGGGACAGCTCATATGTGGGCTTTAGGGACATCATCATGAAACAGGGACACCTTTGCTCACCAGCCACCAGTACCCAGGGAATAAGGAACAAGTTGTGATGGAGAAAACGTCTGCTCGGTTTGGCTCATCCCTCTCTCTCCTTTCCTTCTAGAACTTCCCAAGGCAACCAGCCCTCTCCCAAGGCAGTTGTGAACTTCTCAACAAATACACTTTGTCTTTACTTTCATCCCATTCCCTTGCTTCTTCCTTCCTTTCCTTTTTAAAAACTGTATCCCTCCATCCAGTCAACCATTAATTTATTTCATCCATTCAGGAATAATTTAGTGCACAGCTCTGCAAGGTTTTGTTTTGTTTTGTTTTTAGACGGAGTTTCGCTCGTTACCCAGGCTGGAGTGCAATGGCGCGATCTCGGCTCACTGCAACCTCCGCCTCCTGGGCTCAGGCAATTCTCCTGCCTCAGCCTCCTGAGTAGCTGGGATTACAGGCACGCGCCACCATGTCCAGCTATCTTTTTGTATTTTTAGTAGAGACAGGGTTTCACCATGTTGACCAGGATGGTCTCAATCTCTTGACCTCATGATCCACCCGCCTCGGCCTCCCAAAGTGCTGGGATTACAGGCGTGAGCCACCACGCCCGGCCCTCCACAAGGTTTTAATGTACATCGTCTCCAATTCTTACAATAGTGGAAGGGTGGTAGTCATAGCTCCATTTACAGATGAAGAAAGAGAGAGGCTCAGAGAGGGTAAGTAATTTGCCCAAGGTCACGCAGTTTGTGAGGAGGAGCCAGGTTTGCCATTGGAGTTCAAGTTGGTAAAGACAGAGGCAACTGTGAGCAGCAGTATGGCCCTGCTATGCTCCCACCTCAACCTCCCATGTAGCTGGGATTACAGGTGCGCACCACCACGCCCAGCTAATTTTTTTGTTTGTTTGTTTGTTTTTGTTTCTGTATTTTTAGTATGGTATAGTAGTATGGCCCTGCTATACCATACTGCTTCTCACAGCTGCCTCTGTCTCTATTTCAACATCTTTCAACTTCCAACTCAGCTCCCATCTGCTCTGGGAGAGCTTTCCCACAAGGGTCTCACTTTCTGAGAGTGCAGCCATGCTGGGGACAATTTGACATATGGACCAAATGGTTGAAAAATGCTCATGTCTTTTAATGCATCAATTCCTCCTGTAAGAATTTGTCTTAAGGAAATAATTAGGCAAGTGCTCCATGACGTACGAAAAAGGATGCTCATTGCAGTGAATTTTTTTATAGTGGCCATAACTCAAGTGTCTAGTAAAAAGATAATGCTTAAAGAAATTATTATTCCTCCATTTAAAAGAAGAACCACTAAAACGATACATATTTATTGACTCGGAAACATTTACATGAAATATTTTTCGATGAATAAAGCAGGTTCCAAAACAATATGTAAAGTATGATTTTATTATATAAAAATAATTGGCCAGGCATGCTGGCTCACACCTGTAATCCCAGCACTTTGAGAGGCCAAGGCAAGCGGATCACCTGAGGTCAGGAGTTTGAGACCAGCCTGGCCAATGTGGTGAAACCCTGTCTCTACTAAAAATACAAAAATTAACCAGGTATGGTGGAAGGTGGCCTGTAATTCCAGCTACTCAGGAGGTTAAGGCAGGAGAATCGCTTGAACCCAGGAGGCGGAGGTTGCAGTGAGCCGAGATCGCACCACAGCACTCTAGCCTGGGCAACAAGAGCGCAACTGTCTCAAAAAAAAAAAAAAAAAAGAAAATCATATGTAGTCTCAGAAAAATCTTGAAAGAGTTAATAAAGGGTAACAAAACAGCAGAAATTACCTCTGGGCAGAGGAAGGAGAGTTTAAGGGGTGAATTTCCCCCCACAATAAACTGGTATTATTTGTTTCATAAAGAAATTATGTTTGTGTCCAAGGGGTTCAGAGGTGGGCCTGGCAAGATTTCCCCAATTGAGGAATATGTGGGGCAGAATTTTAGATCTGGGGCTGTGTATTAGTCCACAGACTAATATCCAGAAAGGTCTGTCTGTCTATCTATCCATTCATCCTATCTATATCTATCTACCTATCTATCTGTAGAAACACCAGTACTCCAAGAGATCAAGTAAACTCACATTGCTCGAAAGAACTACCTGAGACTGGGTAATTTATAAAGAAAAGAGATTTAATTGACTCACAGCTCCATAGGCTACACAGGAAGCATGGCTAGGGAGACCTCAGGAAACTTACAATCATGTCAGAAGGTGAAGGGGAAGCAGGCACATCCTACATGTTTGGAGCAGGAGGAAGAGAGGGGAGGGTGCCACACACTCTTAAATGTCAAGTCTAGTGAGAAGTCACTCACCATCATGAGAACGGCAAAGGGGAAATTCGCTCTCAAGATTCAATCGCCTCCCACCCAGCCCCTCCTCCAACACTGAGGATTACAATTCATCATGAGATTTGGGTGGGGACACAGAGCCAAACCATATCAGGCTGTTTTCCCTGCTGTCAAACTCAGTCCTGAGCTATGGCCCTCAGCTGTCTCCAGGGGTCTCCACTAACACTCCCTTTGCCGTATTAGTCTGGCAGGATAGTTGTAGTCACCTAGAAACTGAAGCATTTGTGCACTTCGAGTCTCGTACAGAGAAGGAAATGCTGATTATTTATTTATTTATTTATGAGACAGGATCTCACTCTGTCACCCAGGCTGGAGTGCAGTGGCATGGTCTTGGCTCACTGCAACCTCTGCCTCCCGGACTCAAGCGACTCTCCCACATCAACCTCCCATGTAGCTGGGATTAGAGGTGCATGCCACCATGCTCAGCTAATTTTTTGTTTGTTTGTTTTTGTTTTTGTATTTTTAGTAGAGACGGAGTTTCACCATGTTGGCTAGGCTGGTCCTGAACCCCTGACCTCAAGTTATCCACCATCTTCTGCCTCCCAAAGTGCTGGGATTACAGGCATGAGCCACCATGCTCAGCCATGATCATTTTTATTTTTCCATTTTAACCTGATGTCTCTTGGATCAGATATCTCGAGAACTTTAGGAGCAAGTGGCTACTGGACTGTGGCCATATCTTGTGTCTGGAAATTTGAGTCAGGGGTCAGGAGAGCTGAGACCACCTCCTACTAACCTTCTCAGTGAACAGACTATTTTATCACTTGGAATATTCATGTTTCCCACTCTCTCTCTCTCTCTCTATATATATATATATATATAGATCTTTTTGGTTCTCTTCCATTCAAAAATGCTGTGATTTCTGGAGAGTTGGTTCAAGAGAAGATGCTAAGGAGGACTGGAGGTAGATGGAGGTGTGTCAAGAAACAAGAGCCTAGAGAATTACAGCATATACTGGGAGTGGTTTGTTGCATTAGCTGATTACAATTCCTCCTTTCTGTACCTAGGACACCCTTGGGCCAGGCCACCATCTTCAGTGTTCAGTTAGAAAGCCTGGAATAGGCCGGGTGCAGTGGTTCACACCTGTAATCCCAGCACTTCGGGAGGTTAAGGTTGGGTGGATCACCTGAGGTCAGGAGTTCGAGACCACCCTGACCAACATGGTGAAACCCCATCCCTACTAAAAATACAAAAATCTGCTGGATGTGGTGACGGGCACCTGTAAACCCAGCTACTTGGGAGGCTAAGGCAGGAGAATCAGTTTGAACCCAGGAGGTGGAGGTTGCAGTGAGCTGAGACTGTGCCACCTCACTCCAGCCTGGGTGATAGAGCAAGACTCCATCTCAGTTGAAAAAAAGAAAAAGAAATAAAGCCTAGCATAGCTTGGTCTCAGAAGCCCCAAGGTTAAAAGTCCAGAAGGTGTAGAGACCATGGATGTAGGGGGAAAGATCTGTAAGTTAAGGGGCTTCTGCATGGGGAGCTGTCACTTGAAGAAAACCTGCTGATCTCCTATCTGAGAATTTGCCTTATTGATCTTTTCTCCACTTATGAGGCAGCTTTGAAACAGTGAGTCAGGTTTAAGGATGTGGACTGGGCCCCATTCTTTGAAGGAATAATGAGAAATAAATTTACTAGCTGGCCAGGTTCAGTGGCTCATGCCTGTAGTCCTAGCACTTTGGGAGGCCAAGGCAGGAGGGCAGCTTGAGGTCAGGAGTTCAAAACCAGCCTGGCCAACATGGTGAAATCACATCTCTACTAAAAATACAAAAATTAGCCAGCTATGGTGATGGGCACCTGTAATCCCAGCTACTCAGGAGGCTGAGGCAAGGGAATCACTTGAACGTGGGAAGTGGAGGAGGTTGCAGTGAACTGATTATACCACTGCACTCCAGCCTGGGCAACAGAGTGAGACTCTTGTCTGAAAAAAAAAAAAGAAAGAAAGAAAGAAAGAAAGAAAAATACCTTTAATAGCTGTGCAACCTTCATCTCTTTTTTCTTTCTTCCTCCTGAAATCATTTGTTGAGCGCCTAATGTTTTCTATTCCTCCTATTTGTTGATCACCTACTGTGTACCAGGAACTATGCTTAGTGTTGGTGATACAAAGATCAACAAAGCCCTGACCTCAAGGAATGACAGTGTGGAATAGTGTTTGATTTTAATGTGCAGACAGTCCCCTGGGAATCTTGCTAACATGCATTTCTGCCCCAAGAGGGCTGGGTTGCTGATGGGTTTTGCATTTCTAAGATGCTCCTAGGTGACGCTGATGTGGCTGGTCGAGGGACTGTACTTTGAGAACCACTAGTCCAGAACATCTACATTCAGAATAATGAGTCTAGAATCATCTGAGTCTAGAACTTTCAACTTTAGATCAATAGTTATCAAGTGTGGTCCCCAACCAGCATCATTAGCACCACCTGAGAAATTGTTAATAGTGCAAACTTTAGGGCTTCACCCCAGGCCAAAAGATTCAGAAACACTTGGGATGGGTCCCAGCAATCTGTGTTTTAACAAGTCCTTTGGGTGACAATGCAGGTTAAAATTTGA